TTAAATTGTTATTGAATAAGTTGTTATATTTACATTTATTTCTTATTGAAGCAGTTTGTTTGAAAATATCTTATTCGATGTATTTACATTATGATGAACGATATTTACACAATACAATTGGGATTGGGCAGAAAGCTATGAAAGCTTATAAGTGTTCTGTCCCAGTTTAAACAGTTGACATGTATACAGTTCATGGCATCAATGGAGGTAAAAAAAACAATTATTATATGACAGAGGTAAATTTAGTAAATTCGCCGTTTAGTTTTTACCTAGGAATGTGAAATTGAAAAGACAACTGTGTTTAAACGGTGGCAAATGATTGTATAAAGAAAACAAATCTTAATTGATATTTTTAAAGTACAATTATGCAATTACGCAAAATAACTACCAGCTAATATAAAACAAGAATAATGGATATTTAAGAAAGAAAAGAAGAACTAGGTGAACACTAATAAAGCAGTAGGATGCTTTATCTTAAGTAGTTTTGTTAAAGAATAAGAAACAATATAATCGTTAGTTTTATTCACCAGCGGTCTCCCTTCACATTGTCGCCTGTAGCTTAAAGAAAAAACAAAAAAGATTTGAAAAGAAAATACATTAAATTTTATAAAACTATATATCTACTTCAAAAATATTGTATAGTTAATAGATCTTGATGTTGAGTGCTCGGTGTTATAATATAGCACGGTATGGAGTTCAGATGCGAAGTAATATAATCACGAAGGCCGTTGACTCGAGTGATTAATACAAACACCTGAACGACGGACCGTGCTATATGTATAACAAACAGCACTCAAAATCAAGATATATTTCCATTCTAACACCTCAAGAAAAAACAATAAAGTTGGACTAAATGTTGGCCGGTTAAAATTGTTTCCTTCTCAGAATTTCTAATAGCAAAGTTCTTTAAAAGCTTTTCTTGTCGGTTGAAAAAAATGTCGTTAAATCTACCGTTTGGGCAAATATTTTGAGAATAACAATGTTTGAAAATGGTAATAAAGTTTGTTTTGTTCTGTTGTTTATTTTATTTTATTTATTTTATAGTGAAATGAAAGTTATATTTAATTGTTTGAAAGATGATTATAACGATATGTTACTTTCTAAAGAAATCTAGTTAAAAGCTTTTCAAAGTTAAAATTAAAAATGAGATATCTTAAGATATTTGTTCCTTATTCGATATTTTCAAGAAAGAAACAAGCAAGTAAATATTTTTTATTTTCGATTGATGCACAAAAATTCATTCATTTTTTATTTTATTTGAGAGGTACCTTGCAAATTTATTGAAATATTCAATTTTACAAATTTCCGTATTATCGTTATCAAATGAAATTTTATCAGTAATGTATCCTCAAACAATAAGGTATGCAAAAAGAAGTTTCACTACTGTACTGTAACCGTTGTTTAAAGGGAAGCAATTCAAGTTTTGTACCGATTTTGTATTTGAAGAGTTGTCGTAAGTACTCAGAATGTTTATAAGGAATATATAAAATTGAAGGTATGCAGTTTGAATTTGTTTGGTATTAAATTTGCTTATTGTCCTTTTTTACGAAACAGTGGTCATATTAGGATGTAAAGTAACTTAAAGAGATGCATTTTTAATAAGTATGATATAACTTGAGCAATATTGAATTATATCAAACTCAAATTATCAAACTGGCAAGCATACACGAATCGGACTTATCAATGAACAATCAACCAACCAATCATGTAAGTAAACAAGCAAGCAAGCACACCAACACCATCAATGTGATGCTTTCACTCAGTCTAAAGTAGATTACACGGTTGTTATAAATTTTCAGTTAAGTTTTGTAAGATTTAAAAACTTCGACTATTGCGTTCATATTGTGAAAATTGTTTTATTTAAGCTGCGGGGGACAATGATGTAGAGTACGTAACACCTCATTATTTTACAATCTTGTTCGAAGTTTTGAACAAAATATTAAAAAAATAAGATATATTGAAAAAATGTAAGCTTGATGCGACCTTTTAAGTCGAATATAATGTTCAATTTCTCATATCTCAAGACTCTTAAAAGGTGTTATAATATTATATATTCTATGCTTGTAACGTCGTTTTACATCAGATAATCTTGGCGTTTATATTATGCAGTCAATTTATGAATCAATTTCAATATTTCTCGACAGATTTTTACATTTGTTTTAAAGGTTCATAATAAAGTTATATGACAGTACTATTTATGTATTTTCCTATTACATTATGATACTGAATAGGTCATTTCAAAGGTCAGGTTTAAGTTTTTTGCATACATATAAATGATAAAACGTCATGTCAAGGATAGATTTTTTAAGTTGCATGAGCCAGTAATTTTATTTTATCTTTTTTACATTTTTACCCACGAAGTTATCCGGCAGATAGACACAGTATGTACACTAATTAATGAACAGTTAAAGCCTCGGTCTCACTTACTCCCGGCAGAGCCCAGGACCATCCCGGTAAGTTACCGGGATGATCCGGGACGATCCGGGATGAAATTATTGCTGCGGTCACACTTACCCCGGCAGCACTACGGTAGTTCCCAACTAACCACCCAGGATGCGCCCAGGTCGATCCAGGCAGAGCCCCGGCAGAGCCCAAGAAGATCCAGGCAGAGCCCCGGCAGAACCCCGGTTGATTGAAAACGCCCGAAAATGATAACATTGATACATAATTTTTATTTAATATAATATCTATTGTTCCAGAATAGTAATTCATGTTGATTTTCTGAAAAATCCTTATGCCATACTGGTTAGAAGGGAAATGGGAAGGGTTTTAAAACAAACAAGTGCAATTATCGCAAATTGTCGTTATTCTTTTGAGATGATCCGGGCTTTGCCGGGGCTCTACCGGGATCAACCGTAGCTCTACCTTTATCCTCCGGGGCACTGCCTGTAGTTACCGGGGCGCTGCCGGCATATACCGGGGCTCTATCGTAGCTCTATCGTAGCTCTACCGGCTATATCATACCCCGGATCATCCCCGGTTCGTGCCGGCAGAGCTACAGTGCTTCCCCGGTATAACCCCGGTCGTTCTCGTGAAGCCGGCAAAGCTATACCTTCCCGGATCATCCCGGACCACCCCGGTAATATTAAATATTTTATTCCATCCGGGGTCGAATGCCTGATTTTCCCGGATCATCCCGGATCATCCCGGACGTTGCCGGCAGAGTTACGGATGTACCCCGGTTGTTCCCGGTCGTACCCCTTTCGTTCCCGGATCACCTCGGACGTCTACCGGGGCTCTGCCGGGATGTAAGTGAGACTGTAGCTTAAATACCGTGACATTGATTTACAAGACTCTAGCCAAAATCACACCTAAAATATACCAATATAGGCAATCTTCATGAAGGTGCAGCATACTCCAGAATCCGCCCGATTCCTTTAAAAATATCAGTAACACGCAGTGCAAGCTATGGCATTTTCAGAAATGACAAATAAAGTGTCTGTCATACGTTTAGATTTTTCACAAAATTTATCTGAAGTTTCTTACTTGTTTGGCGCCAACTGTCAAAGCTTGATTTTTAACTTTTTCACCTCCATTCGGAGAGTCAGAAATACATACAAAGCTACCAAAATGCTTAGTTTCGGGTAAAAACCCAAAAATATATCTCATTTTCTACACACAAACAAGAAAGAATTACAATGACAGAGAAATATCAGAAGTTATCAGTACCTTCAAAACACCATGTCTGAGTTATTAAAAAATTTGACCGGGGCCATCATTCGAATATGTCCCCTGCCCCCTTTCACGTGGAAATTATTCCCGCTGCCGTTTTACCTATTAGGCTATTTCTCATCCTACCGTCGATAAGGAATAAAAATTATGATAACATTTGTCACCTTAATTGTCTAGAACTTTTAAACAATTTAAACTTACGTGTCGGACTGGATTATATTGTGCTTACGTCGGTGCTTGATAAGTCAACTTTCATCCCCCAACCATGTCATTTTAGAATGACGTCGTTCCGACGTCTTTATAAATGAGTTGCAAGTTTGCGATTACGTCATTTAACGTTAACGAATTGCCGTAAATTTTTCCTAATTTAAATAATATCAAGTGTTATATAAAACCTGTGGTGTTAGAGTATGTAAGGTGGTATTTAAGTATCATATGAAACGTAAACAAAATAAAAACGTAAACAATCAATGAATATGCGTTATTTTTATTGCCTTGTTATCGAAGGGAGAACATGTATAACAAAAAAACATCAACAAATACAGGTCGTCCCTAACCAGTGTTTACATCGGTTTTCTTCTTCTTATGTATAGTAAAAAAAGCACGAAACATGATATGCAAGAAAAATCGTTGATTCAGAAATATGACAGTATCTTGTTTTAACCATTGATTACAACAGAAGGAGGCAAAGGGGGAGGGGGATAAGAAGGCGGAGGTGGGCGTAACTTTCTGTTGTTTGATGAGTTTTCGCCTCCTCTCCCTTTTCAATACTAGTAACAAAATCAGTTTGTGTGATATGGTCTGCTAAATCTACACTATTGATGTAAAAATGTGCAGTTTTACTAGATTTTGTCAATGAATTATTCTCGCTTTCATTTACAAAACCTTGGTTTGATTCCGCTGTAAAAACGTCGTTTTCGTATTCAGTGGGCGTGGCGATAGCCGTGAGGACGTCACATGATCTAGTCAGTGTTTGATTGACAATAGTTAAATAATTACCAAACACGGTGCCAAGAGAATTTCTATGTTCTTTGGAACTAAAATTTAGTTTTTCATATGATGAATTATTATGCTTGATGTTTGGTATTTGTCTCTCTTCGCTCTTTCTTCTATGAGGTGAAGTTTCCAATCTGTCCAAGTCTCCCAGGGAGTGGCTTCCTCTCATAACTAACACTGGTATCTGCTCGTCACTAGATGACAACTGCGTGCAAACTTTCTTCTTATTATTTAAAAGTTTTCTCACTCCCGAGAACGGGCTACGTGGGAACGACTTTACGGCGTTATTTACATCCGACCTTAAATGCATTTCTAAGTCCCCACATGAACGATTAAGTCTTTTGTGGTTTGTTGAGAAATCTGTCGGAATCGGAAGTTCTTTTCTGAAACAAACGCTTGATTTTTACCAATGGACTACTACTTCCGGGTAGAACTGAATTGTCGTCTGCGCGTAGGTCGCTCATAGATTTGCTTGATTTCATTCCATTGAATGCTTGAGGTCCATTTACTTCTGCAGTACTTTGTGGGCTTCGTGGTGTTCGTTTTTTAACGAAACGTTGTATAGGGTTGAATGCTTTTTCTGCTGAAACTGATTTGAGTTTCAACTCGCGCACCTGCAATGCATTTAAAGAATTATCTTATATTGTTATTTATTCAATGCTCTCGGGGTGAGTCTATAGAGCTCTTTAATGTTAGTATGTTTTTAATTTTTTTATTCCATTCCATACAAGCTATAATTAAACATGTCACATATAATACGTTAATCTTTACACTACAGGAGGCGGAAACTGTTTGGTGGATCAAGGTAAGCATGCGAGTCCTTGCAGCGTGACCAAGTGCTATACTGTTGTACTGACTAACCATACAGTTGAAAATGGATTGTTCAAAATAGAAGAATATAGAAGCTGAAAAAGACTATTTAACTTAAAAAGGGTATGGAAGTATGAACTAGTACGTGAAAATTCTATGACTTAAACTATGTCAAAACGCCATTTATAATAAAATTACTGTTTCAAGCTGTAAACAGCGTGTTCCCGTATTTGTGATGTATTTGAAAAGGTATTCTTACTCGTTTAGAACCCTCGAACGCTGCATTTTTATCGTCTTCATTTGTAGCAGACACAACTTTGGCCTTCCTGACAATACCCGGCGTTTCTATGTTCTGAGTCACAGATTTGGGAGGAGCAAATACTCTGTCACATGACACGAGCATTGCCTGCATCATACACACATTTCCACATTAAGCAGATTTCCCCCACCCCCTGCTTTAACCCATTTGAACATTTTAAAAATTATTCTTGACATCTACATTATTTTTAAAAAACAGTCCAGATATCAATGCGCCTATACCACGTGACTTTTTTGTGATCTGCGTTGGTCGAAAAGGAGGTCCAGGCATAGTTTCCTTCCATAACCTTTTTTGACATTTCATTATTTTAATGAGAAAGTGTAGAGCCCGCTCATTTAAGTGAGGAACTCATACGTACGATATAATTACAGTCAAACATGTGAACAAAGGTCGTCCAAGGGAGATACTGAACATGTCTTTAATATACAAGTTGTCTTTATTTGAAGGCTAGTCGGTTTTATTCAATCAAAAAGGGTTGGCGAAGATTGACATTTATTTACACGGTGATTTTTATTCTGAGGTGGTCTTAATCACAAGTTTGACTGTATCGACAATGGGGCTCTTTATTATTCAAAGGTCAAAATTGCGATACAATAGTTGTATACATTCATGCGAAATTATTATCATACCATAAATCCATACCATACAGAGTGTTAATGTTACTACAGGTGTTATATTATATGTTATTTTGGTTTTGGAGTGATATATGTGGATATATTACCTTTCAAGATTTTATATATAACGGCTCGGGTGATATTTTATCTTGGCAGGTAATATATCCACATTATCGACCCCCAAACCAAATTTTTTGTATTACCCTTCCCTGCGTTTAAGCGTTTTAAAAAAAATCTTGTATTTTAAAATAAACGTCGAAAAAAGATTCCCTTTGGGGTACCCAATCAATAATTTATAAAATACATGACGTATTTTTTTCGACCTAAGAATGAAAAACAAGAAAAAGGTAGTCTTTAAACGCACTTTTTTGGGAAATTTAAATATCAAGCTTTCCATTTCATTTTTTGTTTTCTACTGATGAGAATTTTATGTTACTTTTATTTTGGGAAAATTTTTTATATTTGACAGCAAAAAACTGTTGTTCGGTTTTACATCGCGAAAAATTTAAACCGTAGGCATGCCCGCGCATGTTTTTTGGTGGGGTACCCAAGGGGGAAATTTTAGTGGTATTTTTAATTTTCCCGTCCGCTCTTTAAATTTCTTTCGGGTGATCATATCAATAAAAAAAATTGAATTAAAAATTTTAAATCCTTTAAAGGGTATTTGTATTTTGTTTACTTGCTTTTAAAAAACTGCAATTTTTTAACGTGAAAAAAAAAGAAATTTAACCTTAAGCAAAATTGGAAAAGCAAAACCCCTAGTCAGTTCGTACAAATTTTTCCTGGGCTTTCCCTGTTTATTCATTTTTTTGAGCAAAAAAACCCCAAATTAAAATTTTTCAGACAAGGATTGTATCTCATGGGCTTTTATGTCCATGGTAAAAATTTTTTTTTTCTAAATTTTGAATAAAAACTTTATTCCTTTTTATGTATCGTATAAAAGGTTTTAGAGGCCTGTTTTTAAAGATAAATGTTGCATGAAAAGTAGTTGAAATTTTTCAAAAATAATATATGTAGTGTATTCTGATTGGCTTAATTTATCTCGTGCCGGACTTTTGTAACTCGTGGCCACGACACAGTAACTCGTGGCCACGACATAGTATCTCGTGGTTACGACTTAGTACCTCGTGGCCCACGACTTAGCTATCTCGTGGCCGACTAAGTAACTCATGGCCACGACATAGCAGCTCGTGGCCACGGATAGAATCTCGTGCGCACGGGATAAATAAACACACACACAAACTGTATAAATTGGTGTATAGAAATGAATAAGACGTTTTGAAGTTCATTCTTTTTTGGTGAAAAAGGCGTTTAATTAATCAAGCGCCTTGTCCCGATATATACCGGATTACGATATTTAGCATGGTTAGTGTGTTGCCCCATCTCACTCAATAAGGTGGTAAAAAAAACATCTGAACGCAGGATTACCAATACATATTTATTTAAAGCTTTTTCTTTCAATGGCAGTTCGAGAGATCAATAGCTTTTAGTGACGGCTGTACACAAGTTTCTTTGGCAAGCTCGCAACTGGAATGAATATAATAAAAATAAATCAGATATACCTGTATAAAAAAAAAAAAACAAAAACATTCTGACACGCTTCACACTATTTCTCTATCAAGTGAATTATTACAAATTATAGTAGAATTATGCAGAGCATGACAAACGAATGTTTGCGTGTCGTAGGACGTCAGATATGACAAAAATAACCGAATGAGTTCAGGAAAATTACTTAGAACTACGCTGAATATGTTATCTATAATCTGATTTTGAAATATGAACCGAACCGTGCTTCAATCAATCAATCAACCAACCAACCAGCCAAGTAATCGATCAATCGATCAATCAATCAATCAACGAACGAATGAATGAATGAATGAATGAATTAATGAATGAACCAATCAATCAATCAACAAATGAATGAATGAATCATTCAATCAATCAGAGATCGGGTACTAAGGCAATGCCGAAAACATTTGAAATACATTTGTACAATGTTTGTTCGAGAAAGTAAAGGACATGATGACAAGAAACATTTTTTTTTGTTTACTGAAAAGTTGTAAATATATATAATAATGTAAATGAATCGCTCATCGAAGATACATTACTTCACACGGAAATTACACAATCATCACCCACTAAGTATTTATCTCCAATTATAAATGAAATATTGAGAAATATTGATGAAATAATTTGTGTATTTTAACTTTGCGTATGTTAACTGTAAACATTTTTTTTTTCCTTGCAGTGAAACATATTTTATGTATTTTCACTGGTGTGTTTTCGGACAACTTTTTAACTCAATTTAGCCAAATACAAAATTGCAGGGGAAGTGTTTCGAATCGTAATGTCAAAAAAGCGGAGAAGTATATAATAAACAGAAAATTCAAGTTTTTTTTCTATAGATACGGGATTTATTTTATAATCATGACATGATAATCATCATATTTCACTCGTGGCTACCGCCACTCATGAGTCATGAAATATATTTGTTTCCATATCACTCAATGAAATAAAATCCCGTATTTATAGAAAAAAAAAAACTTGAATATCCTCTGTATTGAATAAAATATTTACTGATTCACATATCGTCTGCCATCGGAACCACAGATAATCTCTATACCAAGTGAATCGCAGTCCATAGAATTCACGTATGTGCAAAGAAAAGACGAATGTAATGGATCTGTTGTGACGTGAGGTGTCGTGTGGGTACTATCCGAACCGGAAGTGACGGTAGATGTCGTCTGCTGTGACAAACTCTCCGGACCGGAAGTGACTGCATGTGTCGTCTGCTTTGTCAAACTATCTGGACCGGAAGTGAGTGCATGTGTCGTCTGCTTTAACAAACTATCTGGACCGGAAGTGACTGCAGGGCATGGTCCGTGATTGGCAAGTCTTAATGTTTGTGTCAAGGTCGAATACTCGCAGACGGCATGCGTGAACTAACAACTGTTAATAGTAATATTATAATGCATGATATCCGACACTTCATTAAAAGTCTGATTATCAGCAGTTAATTTTCGAAAAGTAAATTTTACAGATTTTAGAAAAGTAAAAATTTCTGCTTCTGAAAATGTGTTCTATCTCAAAGACAATCAATACTTACACTTTTAAAGTATACTTTACAGAATAATTTAACTTAAAAATGAATGAAGTTTTTTTTAAAAAATTGTAAATAAAACTAACCAGGTTTAGATACATCTGTTATGAAAGAGTTATACAAATTAGTTGATCAAATTTACATCAAGCTTTTACTGTGTTTTTTATTCTCTCCCTTGAGAAACTAATTTATTACTGGTTTTCATAGGTGACGCCATCCGTACCACATACTTTCTCATCTCCCATTGTCACGTGATTGGTACAGTCCACGAGCAAAAGTTCGAGACAAAGGCGTTTTGTGTAATGAAGGTCAAGGTTGACAATGGCTGCATCAACCTGTCCGGGACTTGGAATATGTACCTCCTCGTGACCATGACTTCTTGGTTTGAGGAATGCCACCGCCATGTTAATGGCTGCTGAATGAATCAAAGTACAGAATACGTGCAGTTGTCTGGCACATGACACAGTTGTTCGTAAAAAGTAGAGTCTATTAAAACTAAGTACAAATACATATGCTGATACGGATGATCTTAGGATTCCGGCAGGTTGCCTTGACAACAACAACAAAGTAAACGGAATGATTTTTAAAAATCGGTTGAATAGCCAAGGTCAAATACCAATGAAAAAAAATGACATTCAAAAAATTGCAAAGGAACGTGATTGACTTGTCAGACGCGCGCTATTTATGATTTTGGCAGACTCAGTTATTCTTATTGGATTTTAATCCTTTTCACGTTTTGACCTAAATGTTTAGATATGTCTTCTTATAACACGATTGCCTGTATTGCTTGTATTGTTTGAAATGTCTGGTTAGTTTTGATATTTGCAATAATTGGCCTTTACTTTGTTACTAATAAATCGATCGTCTTCATACAGTAGCACAGCTGCCTTAAGTACAATGTTTTAAAGACAACACACTCAATTTGATCTACCTTGACTGATAAATGACATTGACCATGAAGGTCAAATGATTGCACTTTCGCAGTTTTTTTGCTGTAGTTGGCAATTACATTAATTTGTAAGTAATAAATGAACTGTCTTCATACCTGGGAAGAAAAATCCTTCGGACAAGACTTTAAAAAAGAGTTTATTAAATTGAACTTGATTTAATTTGACCTTGACATTAAAGGTCACATTAGGGAATTGTACTTGTATGGGTCATAGCTTTCTTGTTTATTGATGGTTTTGATTTGTACTTGAGCAAAAGAACACTGATAACAAAACTGACATATTAAGAAATTGAAATATGGTATTTGAATATAAACGACGTTGCATCAAGGTCAAATTTTGAGTTCAATTAAGATTGTCATAACTTTGTTATCTATTTATGGATTTGATTTTATACTTGGACCAAAGATGCCTTGCGATAAGACCCAAATGTTGAATATTCATTTATGACCTTTACTTTTATTTTACATTGTCTGCTGTTGTCCAACTATTAAATGTGTCTTTAATTGTCATAACTTTGTTATTTATTACAGATTTGATTTGATTTATACTTGTACAAAAATACAACAACAACACATATGATAAAACTGGCATGTTGAACTATTCTGTCTAAAATTGTCGTAACTTTGTTATTTATTTATTTGTTTATTTGATTAATTCTTTTACAAGCGGACACTTATGACAAAACTGATATGATTATTAATTCAAATGTGTTCACTGGGGCATGCAGGTCTAGAATTTCATTTTCTCTCTGAAATGCCAAAAGCGCGTTTTTCTCCGCTAACCATTAATTTGACCGCGAAAATGGGGGGGTTTTGGGGTCTCTTTTTATTCCTTTTGTGGACACAAACGTTACTATCTGTATTCCCGTACCCCTATTTTTTAGATATGCAAATTCTACCCCTTTTTGGCGAATTAAAACTTTTATCGCGTTAACAAAATGCTTTTTTTTTTTTATTCCTCTTTTTTTTTAAAGTACATTTTTAGTTCGGTAAAAAAAAACCATTTGCCATTTTTAAATTTTTAGGTTCCGGAAAAAAAAACTATTTTGGGCCCAATTTTCCCGAACCTCTTTTTCGTTGGGTTCTTTTTGGGTTTGTACAGTATGTAAAGAATAAATAGTCTTTGTTTACATTTTGTTAATTTGTTAAATTTGTTTACATTTTTTCACTTTTTCAAGTTCAAGATCTATGCTCTTAAAAACCCTTATTTATTAAAAATTTAAAAATTTATGTTTGCATTTCCTAAAGAAGTAAAATTATTTTTTTAGCATTGGCCCTTTAAGAAAGTGTTTGGGGGTGTTAAAAATGCCGACTCTGATGGGAAAAAAAAATTTAAAAAAAATCAATATTTAGAAAAAGTAAAAATTTTAAAAGTAAAAAAACTTTCGTCAAATTATATTTAAAAAATTTTTTGTGGATTTAAGACTGATTTTTTTCTAGCCCTTTTCTATGCTTACTAACGCAGGGATGTTTTGTTTCTGTTTTTTTTGGAAATGTTCGGGATTTAAGGGGGTGAAAAATTTAAAAAGATTATTTTTTTTACTTTTTTAAAAAATTAAAAAATAATTTTCCAAAAATTTTTCATGAAAAAATTTGGGGGCTTTGTTAATAGTTTTAAAAAAGAAAGGGCAATCTAAATGGACAACAAAAAAAAAAAAAAGTAAATGTGCCCTTTTTTAAGTTTTTTTTTCTTTTTTTTTTTAAAACTTTTAAAATTTTTGTCATTTCCCCCGGGGGGAAATTTTCTATCAGATTGGGGCAATTGCCCCCAAAAATTATAGAGAATGCAAAAACAACACAACAAAAACAACGAAAACAAAACAACCAAAAACAACCAAAACAACAACACCAACAACGTTAACGATAACAACAAAAACAACAACAACAACAATAACGATAACAACAAAAACAACAGCAACAACACATGCAAAATGAAACGGTGCGTAATCACCATTTGCATTTAATTTTACTTCCAGTTTCAATTTAATTTTACTCATTATAATGATGAAGTGAGTAACAGATTTCTGGAAAGTTGTATGGTACGGACTAGTAGTATAGGCGTCTCTTTAACGCCACGACTGCGCATGCGCGGCGCCATATTGGATTCTATTTTTAGAATGACATCATCGTTCTATATTTAGAAATTCATTTTTAATCTCCCGGAAGTATACGGAGCTGACTCGTATACACGATTTAGGGCTTGAATCGCGGACATTGAAGGTCAGGTCCTCGGCCCTAGACGGGGAGATAACATTTCAAATGAAAATTATACACATGTATCCATAAAAAATATGAATGAAATGACTTACCTTTTAATTAGGACATTTTGTATTTAAATAATAGGTTGTATTATTTATATAACATTATTAATAAAAATAGTATTAAAAACTTAATTCAATATTAATATATTATTTCAAATGTGTTTTTCTATAAACATTCCAAATAAAAGAAAATGCGTTAGTAATAAGATATAATTGAAAACTGACTGACTAATTGATTCTTTATAATACAATGAATAAGACAATTAATTAATTTAAATGTGTTTCTTCATAAAGTTTTTTAACATATAACAAAATATATGAAATTAATTTTCAATTTAATTCGATATTATGAGTCAGTCAAATAATGTTTCTATATAAGATAATAATAAGGACTTTTACTGTAAAATAATTTAATAAATATTTACGTAAAATACATACATACGATGTTGACTTTTCGGCGTTCCGCAACGAAATGACTCAAGTTTTTTTTGTATTCCTTAATATGCATGACCGGTTCTAGTGACCTCATTAGCTAATTTAAAAACGGACAAAAGGCTATTCAGGTGTCAAAATTAATCCATTCAGAATGTCAACAATGTTTGGCGTATGTTGATTTAAGAGCAGATGTGCGGACAATGGTCCATTCAACTGTTAAAATTAATCCCTTTAAAGTTGCCACGCTGTTTGGCTTGTGTTTATTTAGGGACGAATATTTTAACAATGGTCTATTCAAGTGCCAAGCCTAACTTGTTTACATTATTTGGCTTGTGTTTGTTTAAGGACGGAAACTTTAACAAAGGTTCATTTAACTGTCAAAATTAATCCCTTTAAAGTCGCCGCGATGTTTGGCGTCTTGTTTATTTAGGGACGAATACTTTAACAATGGTCTATTCATATGTCAAAATTAATCCCTTTACAGTCTTCGCGCTGTTTGGCGTTTGTTTATATAAACCCGAATGCGGTATAATGGACATTGATTTTATCAATAGTGTACTTTTTAAGGGTCCCGGTCAGCGAAATGTTTACTTAATGCAAACAGACTGCTGAAATAAGGATTAAAATTTGTAGAAAATGTTGCAACTTATAGAATTATGACTTATACCTAATACTGTTTTGTTTTTTAGTCTACAAAATGCTGTTTTTTACAATTAGAATGAAATTTCATTCCCTTGCGTATATTTTTGAGAAATTTCATTCAAAGAATTTAAGCTACAAACCGGTTTTTTCCTCTTTAGGGCAACCGTTTACGATATGATTTTTTAATTTTTCACTACCAATTGAAAGAACATTTCAATACCTTTCATTTACACCCCCCATTTTCGATTCGATTTTTAGCCGTTCTCGAGTTATGACCAATTAGCGATTTTTAAACCAATTTTTAAAAGTCCATAAAACCGTTAGATTTATATGCCGTTTGAAAGATCTCTGCGAGTAGATACAGAAAATGTATTATTATATGGATCTATCTCTTACCGTTTTTGAGATAGGAGAGTTTGAATATGGCAAACAAAATCACTCATGCGGAAAAACGCGCATAACTTTTTCGTTTATGAACGAAACATAGTCGTGTTTGGTATCAAATTGAAGGTCTTGACGAGTACATTTTAGTCACGCGATCAAACCGG